TTTCTCATTTATGTTAAGTCATATCAGCTTGGGGGGTTCTTAATGTTGTCTGTATTATAAAGTTGGATGAACTTCTCAGTTATCTTTTCTATTTTCCTTAGGATTTCTCCATGAAACAGACTGCGTACTGGAAAAGTATGCTATTTTTTAGGGTCTATTTATGCACATGTGCCATAGAGAATTAAATTTGAGCAGTGTTAAGTGCTGTTCCTCGCACAATTCATGAACATATTTTTAAACCACTTGGGGCTCAATTTCATAAAAGAAAACTGCATTTATTTTTAATTTCTTTTTCTGAGGCTGAATATTTTTGAGATATTGTTTACTGCATTCTTTTCTTGCTTTAGTAATTTCTGTAAATACTTTGCTCATTTTTCTATTGATATATGTACTCTTTTTAAAACTTTTATTATTTATAGTGATTTACATAAAATATAACTAATAAATGATTTACTTCGTTCTTTGTTATATATATATATATTAATTACTTGGAGACAGATTCAACCTGTTGTCTGGCTAGCCCTGCATCACTAGCTCACGCAACCTCAAACCGCGGGCTGAAGCGATCCTTCTGCCTCAGCCTCCCAGTCAGCTGGGACTACCGGCATGTGCACCAATGTCCTGCTATTTTTCTATTATTTTTAGTTGGCAATTATTTCTATTTTTAGTAGAGACGGGCGTTCGTTTACTCAGGCTGGTCTTGGAACTCTGACCTTGAGCGATCGCGGCTGGCCTCCAAGAGTGCTAGATTACAGGCGTGAGCCACGCTCCCAAGCTATTTGGGTTAATATTTTGGTGACAAATATTTGCTGCCTTATTTTGTCTATAGCAAAAATAAACTTGTGTGATGTGTGTGTGGTGTGTATGCCTTTGTAAAGTGCATATATACAAAAAATTGTTTACTTGTCTTCAAATCCATTTTGGTGTTTTGGCTATCATTTGAGTAATGTCTTTTTTTCTTATGGTAAATCTTAACCATTCCTTCAAAACCATGCAGTCTTACTCACCATTCCCTTTCTAATACTATATACTATAGTATGGCATTACACTATAATGTTCTTTTCAATAATATATTTTTTCCTTCCAATTGATTTCAACTCCTGAAAGGGATTGGAAGTTTACTTTATGACTCCCAACACCAAACAACATTAGATCATAAATACCGTGAGGCTTACTTGTGCTTAGGCAACTCTCTCTCTCTCTTCCATCCACTTCAACTCAATTCTATCCCCACTGGCACCTTACCCAACCCTCCTCAGGGCTTCTTTAAGGTTTCCTTTACAAATTATTCCTCCTGCTCATGTCTGCTTGGCAACATTTATCAGAAAGTTCTCTGCTCGGATTACACTAAATATTCTTTGCTTAATCCTTTAAAGTTTTTGTTGTTGTTGCAATTTCCTAACCTGTTATGGAAACATTAAATACTAACATTCTACCCTGGCGACAGTGGCTCAGGCCTGTAATCTTAGACTTTGGGGGCTGAGGCATGAGACTGTTTGAGGCAAGAGCAGTTCGAGACCAGCCTGAACAAGATCAGCGATCTCTACAAAAAGAGAAATTAATCAGGTTTGGTGGGCATGTGTCTGTAGTCCTAGCTACTCGTGAGGGCTCAGGCAGGAGAATAGCGGATGTCCAGCAAGTTTGAGGTTACATGAGCTATGATGATGCCACTGTACTCAGCTGGGTAGCAGATGAGACTCTGTCTCAAAGGAAGGAGGGAAGAGAGTGTCTCAAGACAAGGTAGAATTGTAAAGAGTAGGAGAATACATGGAATTACCACTGTCCATAGTTAATGTTTTTTCATTATAACGACCATTTAATAACTATAAGTTAAAATAAACAAATAATGTATGTTTATGTATTTTATATAGAGTCAAAAGAAATCAATGTCTTCCCAATACAGATCAGTATACAATCGATTCCATAGGCTATGGAGGGGAGGAAAGCAGTTCTTATTGTTAAATACTTCTCAATCAGTACAATGGCAGAAGCCAAGCCTGTTCAACGTCAGGCCAACTCATAAGTATGGGATTCCAACTACAGAGACTTCTTAAAGGTTCTGGAAACTTGATAGACAGTTATCTCATCACATTTCAAAGATTATTGGGACTAGGCAGGTTATATATACATCATAAATTTTCCAAGAATTTATTTGGACAGTTGTTCACCATCCAGTACACAATTGAATTTTCCCCATTAATATTGGAAACCATCCACAGAGAATCAAGGTTTAGTTTCCTAAAAATATATGCCCTTCCCTGCTGAAAAATAAATCAAGTATGCAATTAATAAAGGCAAAAGGAAGGTAGAGGAAGAAAGAACTAGAAAGAACCGCGCTTCCCTAATTCAACGAATGTGAGTAACAGGAGCAACATGAGCAGATCATTTTTATGAGAAAGGGAGTGGCAATTAATAAACAACATAATTGTACTAACTTATGCAACTAACTATCATCAAAAGTTGAAAACACTGATATGGGTAATCTGTACATACTCCCGGCGAAAGTAGTTCCCCTCAACCAAATAGTTATCACCTGTTAATTTGTATTCTTCTATCAATGTCAACTTTTGTTTGGCAAGCAACCAGGATTAGAAAGTTTGGTTTCTCCAAACAGCGGCCAGCCAATCCAACCAACCTTAATTTGTAGTGTTTAAAAAATTAATAAAGTACGTTCAATCTTAACACTCTGTTCAAGTGTACGATCCCAAAAACCTCATTATTTGAAAAACAACAGCTCCACACAGTGGGATCCGTGTGAGTGACGCAATAGAAGATATCCAACATTCAACCGGGTTCAGCCAGAACCCTTTCTGATATTCGCTGGGCTTCAGTTCTAAGAAACACATGGTTTAGCAAGCCTCTCTGGTGAACTGAACCTGGATGTTGAAGTAGTCCGTACCCCTACGCTTCAGTAGCCTGTGTAGAGGAATACAGGCAGAGATTTTCGCAGACGACTACTAACATTAAGGACAGGTATTTAACCAGACACCCATACGCAAGCGTAAGACCAGGATGATCACCATCTGCGAACTTCTTTGGACTTTCCTGCTCCCCGTTTCATGTAACATTCATTCTCTTCCCCTGGATTCCGAGCTCTTCCATCCCCAGCTTAACTATCCACTCCTGCTTGAACACTTATTGTTTCTCTAGCCATCTCTAATTTAAACCAATTTCCACATTCCATTTATTCACTTATCCCACCCACATCATGTACCGTTCATTATGAACAGTCTAGTGCAGTGGGACAAATAATTATCCCAAAGCTTCAGAAGGTGGGAGAAATGCTTGGTTACATAAATAGCGTTAAAATCAGAAATGCTGCCCAATATTGTTAGCTATCTGCAGAGACTCCTGTGCAAGGGAGAAAAAACAACCATGTGAGTGAAGCTAGAAATACTTTCCGCTATGTCATCAAGCCTTCTCAAGAACTGATATACGAGCCAGCTGACACCTTGGCTGCACTTCATAAGCAGACCTCTGAACAACCAAACAGTAAGGTGCCTCAAAATTCCATGATCCACCAGAAAACTATGTTCGTTTTTTTAACTTGCTCAAGACTTGAGG